TTATTAACTATGACAGTCATGATAAGTCCTGCTACTAAAATGGAATAAATTATCTATACAGAGGTTGAGTGGGTTAATATTAAAACGATACTGGAGCCACCCATCGTTATTAAAGTCCATGTCGTCACGTCCGGTAATATTTATGTGACGACCGTGCATATTGAAAACACCTCTACAACGTAGTTTCCATTGACGTAATATTCAAAGCATATTCCCCCTTTCTGCTTATTTTCCATAATCCCTTTTGGGTATTAGGATGACAGTTCCCAAGCGCTCGTATAATTCGATTGAACAGAAATCTATAGATTGTGCTTTCGGGGACTTGACCAGTATATCTCTATATGAAGTAACAAGAATTAGCGCTTCATTCTCGAGCCACTTGAGGCATGTAATATTTGTACGGACATGTCCTGGAAGCAGCATGTGTAGATAGGAATTGTGCCCATTTTCCAACGAGGGAGTTCCTTCTTGATCATGTTGGATACTATTACCTAAAGCACATGGACGGATTTTACCTTTTTTGCTTGTGGATTCTCATCTATTACAAAACACTGTACTTTGTTTACCACGCCTGAGGTACAACTTGTTTCGGGTCTCTTCCTGGTTGATTCTGGTTTCCTAAAAGTTGATCTATATTCCTCTTTTATCCAATGCCATTAATTATAAGAGATATCTCTGTCTTAGAAATTCTAAATACCCGATCTGCAATTTTATGATTGTATGAATATTTTGCGTCAGAAAGAGCTGTTACATACCTATACTAATGCCTGATGAGAATCCACTGAAGTTAAATGATTTGTAATGTTCGAACTTTGTAAATGTTCCTGGTCAAATATCTGAAGTTTTCCGATTAATAAGCGTCATAACAATAGCAAACTAATGATAGATACTCCTCTTTTGGCGCGTCGCGTTGGTTATATTTATAGGCGTGTGGATAGTTTCTTAAAAATTCAGATTACGTAACAATACAAAGCTACCTTAAGCGTTTACGTACATACATATATTGTTGATTCTTACACTCGAGAATCTCTACAGCTTTAGAGAATAGGCGGGAGTTTCGCAATACATATTTAACAGTATAAGCTATGTATGTTTCTGAATATAAATTTAATTCAAGCAAACATCGATATTAAAATAAATATATAATAATAAATCCGTTACATTGTACATTTGATTTATTTAGCTGGTATATATATCAAAGGACATGTATTACAACAGTTACCAAAATACCCAAATCAATTATCAGCATTTGCCAAGTTTGTAAAAGTATCAGAGCTATTTGATATAATTTTAGTCGTTAGTAAAAATGCTTATCCAAACAACTGTAACGTGGAAGGATAAAGGTGATTGATAATGCAAACAAGTATATGGATCCTTATCTTTTTCTCGTTATCACCCAATAGACGTTTCTCGTTATTTAGAACGGTAAATAAGCGTAAATGTTGTTAACTAGTTATATTGGACATATTTTACAGATGTCTTTCTAAAGTACGTCTGTCCAAAGAATAGAGATGGATATAAATGTAAATCATATAATGCCAACCAGAGTAAGTACCTTACTGTTTTATTCACTGGTGGGGGGAAGGAAAACTATTCCATTACTTTCCCTACTTGCGTGTCTTTATTGTTAACAGAATATTACGGTAGTTGCATGCTTTTCCTTATTGTAAACCACGTATGTTGTTGTTGTAGCGATAATTTCATCGTTTAAATTAATATATGCTCAAAAGTACTGAATAAAATACAAGTTATACAAACAAGTTAGTTTTAAAACTTCTCTGCTTTCGCAAAATTTAGCTATGTTTGTGATCTTAACAGTTGACGTGAAGTTAATGTGTTATACTTAAATCGTTTTGATAAGACTATTTAAAACCTTAACAAGGTTTGTAAAAATGTTTATTTTGTATATCTGCTAAATTATTTTTTTCATGTAATTGTAATAAAATATACATACTCAATGTTTACATAATTATAATAATTACATTTGTAATCACTACAACCAGCAAAATTAAACTTGTAAGATGTATACATAACATAATTTTACTCTTCAGTACATCTAAATGTCAAGTTAACTTTTTAACTAAATAACTTGTATACGTATTTATTTCAGAATAATTATGATGTCAAACTGGGAAACTGGGAAGTTTGTGTGCACAAGAACCTCCCTCATCAGGAAAAGACAGAAGCAGGGACGACCGAAAACGTTAGAATAAATTCAACAAAAATGTCTGAAAACCTAGAAAGTGAAGAAAATGGTAAATTCCATGAAACCGAAATAGCAGACACACAACGCAATGAAAATAGGAAAACAACGAGGAAGTGTTTTTTAAAGATAACTGATGAGGTCGATCTAAACGGTGAGTGGATAAACGATATTGTGAAGTATTACTTAGCTTTTGACTCTTCTTGTTGTAAAGAAAATGTATCCAAGCTCGAAATGCCGTTTGTAAATTTTGCGAATAAAAATGGATGTGTCAACAAGAAGTTTTAATTTTAAAATGTTTACAAGTTATTGAAAAGTGGAGTACGTTAGTCATAAAACGCTTTTTAATACGGCTTAATTAACTTGCAAAAAACTTTAAAATAGAAAATCTGACGATAGTTATGTCAATTTTTAGTTATTGCTATTATTAAAACATATAATTGTTTTTTACATTGATTATTGTTTGATCTCAAATGGCTGACGAGATAAAATAATTTTGATATTTTTTGCCAAACCCGAATAATCTCTTTAAATGTTTATCTTTAATTATAAGTTTATATTTATTTTCGTTATAGTCTTTCAATTACTCTCAAATATCTAATGAAAATTAAGTGATGGCAATAATAACTTTTTATATAAAATATTCAAGAAAGCTGGTGGCTCGGTTATTAAAAAAGGAGAGTTGTGTTTTCATTTTTTTTTTGCGAAACGCGTTGCTTTTCTTGTAGTATTGAAGATTGAAGTTATTAAATATTTCAAAACGGTGTTTCATCAACTCAAGGAAATGGTGGTTCAGTATAATGTACATAGCCTGCAGATGCCACTTGAAGTTGTTTTGATAAAAGTTTGAGTCGGTAGAGGCTCCTGACTTAAATTAGTTTGGTAGCATTTCATATCTTTTTTAAAAAATTGCGTAAAACAGTGTTGATAATGTTAATAAGTTTTAAGTTTGGCTTAGCATTATGTGGACACTTTCGAGGAAAGATAAATTCTAGTTTCGAAACAATATAAGTTATGTTAGCCACACAACTAATCTCTCAAAACTCATTCTGATATTTCTTTCTATTGTTGTGTTAAAACTTATTTACGCCCTTGTAAAGTGTTAAGCAAAATACTGACAATTTTAACACTTGTTTCTCGAAATTAACCATTTGTTTTTCATGACTTGAATGGTTACGGTATTTTATAATACTGTCACTTAGTGGAGGTTAATAGGTCAAAGTTTGAGTTGGGAACGGGAAACTTTATACACTTACATTCTAAATAGAATTTGATAATATTCAGCTTTCCAGCTAAGTTTGCTCTCTAGTTTCTTCACATACAGAAACCACTACATGTGTGTGTTGAGGTAATTTTTGACTAAAAGTACCAAAATACCTAATCTAAAACTAAAACAAACAGATCCTATCGACAGAAAACGTGATAAAACTTCCTGTTTTTAGTTACATAGTGATAAACATCAACGCTGATAGTGGTTATATCCATCCCCACAGCAACAAGGCAACAACTGCTAGTGAACTTTGACAATGTTTTTTTATTTGTGATAACTTGTGTTTAGCCCTAATTGTGTCCGATGCTATAATGTGACTTTAACGTATTAATGACATATTTATTAATTTCAATAAGAACAAGCAATTACGGAATTAAGTTTTCACAATTTTTTTTTTTAACTATGATTGAACAATACACACTATTTTATGAAATTGACATATTTAAACGATTTCATAAGTGTTTGAACAAATGTCAAATATTTTTAGTTAGCCACACTTTTTCCGGACTTTGCCACAGATGCTGCTACTGGTTTGGTTTAGCTTTCCTGGCTTTCAGTAAGTTTATTTATTTATTTTATCTTAGAGTTAATCACTTGTTTTCTTATGTGACCTTTGTTTCTTTGTTGTTATTGTTTTTTTCTTCAAAGTTGATGCTTAAAGATATTTGAAGGTTGATACAATTCTCTGCCCACTAAATTCTTGAACTTTGTGCAGAATAAGCATATCGTTTTAAAGAAAGTCAGAACGAATATTTGTTTTCATTATGGTGTAAAAAACTTAGCAGATCACGGATACTTTATAGAATTTCCTTTTAATTCACATAAGGAGTTTGAAAACAAAGACGAGATTTTTACCTTCAAAATTGCATGACTGATAATCAAAATGCCTTATATGCATAACACTTAAACTGAAAGGCGTTATTGGCATTATTTATAGCAGTCACGTTTGCCTTTTTAACTATAATGCTACAAATTTCAATTACTTTTTTTGCAGTGTACATTACTTTTAGAATTTTATTTTGGAGTTAAGAGATAAATTTCCTCGAAACTTCTGTCTGGTTTATTAAATTAAATTGTTATTGTTCAATTACTTTAAATTTTTAAATACTTGTTAATGACTTTTTTTAAATTTTATTATGCGATTAAAGTTTAATCACAGTCGTACACAAATTACAAGATGTTTTATTTCAAGGGATTTGTAATTTATTTTAATAGTTGGTGGTAGTGTTGCTGTTGGTATATTGTGCGGTTTGCAGATATCTATGATAATTATAGGTAAGTAAGATTGCAGGGCATGTAATATTGAAAGATGAGTTGATTTAAGAAACGGAAAAGTTGTTTCCCAAGATATATTTTTCAGTGTGTTTTTATTTCTTAAATATCTAAGTTTTTATTCTCAGCTAATGAGAAGGAAATGTTTTGTTTTACTACTCTATGTGCCCTCGATGAATACAGTGACAATGTTACAACCAGGGGTTCGATTCCCCGCGTTAGATAAAATGCAGGTAATCCATAGTGTAACTTTGTTCTTAAAAAACAAATAAACTATTCTATATAGAAAATGTATAAAGAAGTGTTAATTATGATATGAAATTAAAAATGAATTGCATGACAACTGTAGATACCTTCGCACGGTAATAATAATACCAGTGATATTATAATAATCACAGTATAGCTCATTTTTTTGTATTAATGAATACTTTGTATTTCACAAAAAGGAACAATAATGACAATGAGAAGAAAACCTGGAAACGTTGTTTTCATTAGTAATAATAAAGTGTACATAATTTTTATGAAGGCTTACATGTATTCTATTTTTCAGTTTAATTTACATTTGAATTTGTAATATAATAGCCTACTCCTGTGCTTAGTGTGTCACTACTTTGTTTTTACTTTTAGTTATATACGTGTCATTGGCATATAACCCTAAATTTGTTGAAAGGCCGATTGGCATACTTTAAGAATCTTGCCATTTTAATTGATTATAATCAAATGAAGCTACGGCACCTGTTCTGCAACAGAAATAACAGGTTCGAGTTTAAGTCCATCTTGGTTTCCACTTTTGAAGGTGAGATGCTGTTTTCTTTAAATTAGAGTTCTATTTTACAACATAAAAGTATCACGAAGTGTCTTAATGACTCACAAGTATCAAATACATTTACTATTATTTGGAGAGCGTAGATTACCATCTGTTTGTTTTCATTTGATTTAGTTTTTCAGACCTTGAAATATCGTTAAGGAAATTTATTGGCCTTTAATTCTTAACAAACCAGAAGATTCGTGATGGAACTGCATTCTGCTTATATATTTTTTATAACTAGATTAATTTTGTCCTTGGTGTTCTTCTAAGAAGGTTTTATTTGATGGCCTCTTTTGGAATATTATGATCTTAAGTCCATTTTTAGCCACCTGAGCGATGATGAAAGTAAGTAGTCGAGATACCGACCGAGGAAAGAATAAAAGTGCTTCAACTAATAGGCGTTCCTTCATGACCTGATCGAGATTGTAGCGGGAGCCCAGTTGGCATGGCTGAATTCCGTTTTTTTAAAGTTTTTAGATTTTAGAAGTTGATTATAAATAGCTTTAGATGGGAAAATTGTACTTTCCGTACCAAGATAACAGAAACTGTACTGAGTGGTGCTATCGAGAGCAATACCAATTGTAATAAGTACTTAGGTTTTTATAAATAAGTTGCATAGTATGAATTAATAGGCGTCTGTGCACCTTACTAGGCCACACTTGTTAGAATGTTATAAGCATTATACTTATAAAGCTGCAGTGTTGGTGTGTGCAACGGAGAAAAACATTATTAGTTACCGTTGTTTGTTTCGGTCAGAAGATACATGCTTCGAAGTGCCACGTCAGAGATTTTTCGTTTTGTTGGAAAATATTATAACTTTGAGTGAAATTGACTGTAAAATTCTTCCAATGTAAGGAAAAGGCGTGTGATTGGTGTAAGTTCGTGCTCTAGGTTGAATAAATTACTATCCACACCAGAAGGCAATTGATTGTAATAGAATGTTTCAGCATGTTAGAATTGAATCTAGAGCAATGAGTAGGATGCAAAGAAGGCAATCTTTCAAGCAAGGCTTTGACAAAAGAGTACTTATTATGAGCAAAATGAGGGCAGGAAATGCAAAAAAAGTAAACGAGGTCATAGGGTCTCACAGCCCACCTGTTGAGAATCGCTGAGATAAAGTATAACCGAACATGGTGACATGGACTGTAACGATGTGGTGAGGCTCTAAACTTAATAAAGTATACTTAACCTTTATCTATAAACATTTCACATATGTTTTTATTTGACACACTCTTTTCATTAAGTTTAAATGTTGAAAATTTTAGGTACTATCCACAGAAACAACTGTCCTGCCCAACCCTGCATTCCCATTTACATGACTACTTCTGGGTGTTTAGGTATTGTAGGCGTCTTGATAGGTGTCACCCGTCAAGTCATGGAGAAAAGAGGCAGAAAGAGAATAGTAATATTTCTCCACAAATTCGTTCTTGTGTCGTCAATCTGCATCATTCTACCTTGGTATGTTGTGGGTGAGTGTGTATTTGCTTGTCCCTGTCTATCTTAAGTAGGTAAGAGGTTAGTGTATTGAACATTCACTGATACTTCTACAAACATCTTAATAACTAAAGTAAGTTATCATTTATATACTACTAAAACTCTGAGATTGTTTGTTTGTTTGCTTGTCTGTAATTAACTACAGCAAAAACGGCGCACAAGAGCGAATACTTGTAATGAAATGAGAATACAAATCAGAATAGAAACAGAATAAAACAAATTTCGTTAATATTGGGCCACAGGTTACCGAGTTAGCGCCGTTTTTCGGATTACATTTATGAAAATATCTAGCATGAATAATTTTACATCACACCACCATTCACAATCTTTACGAAACTTCTTCGTTCAACTCTATTTCCCTGTCAATGTCCTATCTTCATTAAAAGGCGTAAGATGACAAAAACAATATCTTGAAGAATTTCTCAATAATGTGCCTTGGTTATGGTAGGTAATTCGAAGAGAAAAATAAAGTGTTACTGTTTCTTATTTGTATAAGGTTTAAGAGGAAACGCCACAACATAATGAACTAATTCATCACAATACCTGAAACTCTGACTTCACTTTGTGAATGAAATGGTTTTTCCTTTTACTTCCGACCAAGAATAAAATATTTGTTCTTGAATTATGAATAACACGAATGGATTGAAATATTTAATTAAATTATCTCAAAATAAACCTTCATTTCGGTGCAATATTGAAATTAGCTTGAATTCTTTATAACCTCTGAATGGTGGGTGACCCAATGGGTAATGAGTGGTCTGGTATTCCTTTAAGAGGTTGAGATAAAGACCTAATCTCCGACTATACGACTATAATATCAAATAATATGAAGAACCAACGTTTTACCTTTCTTTGCTTCCGCTGACACATTCAAACACAAATGATTACATACTTGTCTAATGAGTAAGTAATGTTCAGTAGAAAGTTTTTGTTAACTAACAAAATCGTTTACTGAAAATGTCTAGTGTTTTGTATATATAGCAAAATTACATCTTCTATTTCTACATAACTTATTATCGTAAACTAATAATCATCTTAACATCTAGAACGATAAATTACCATATTTTATACTTTCAATTTGGAATTTGTTGATACATTTACTGAGTTATCGGCGTAAGTATGTAATCTTTTCATAATGTAACACATCTAAACTTCAACATTTCTCTAAAATAAGTAAACAAAAATTATGAAAGCATTTTAAAATACACCAAGCTTGCATGATTTAAATTAAATATTGGAGGAATTAATGAACAATCACCACTCACTTAGTTCATAGACTGCAGCTCCTAGAATTGGTATTAATTCAGCAATATTGTTGCAATAAACCAGTGAAACTTTTCGCGAAAAGTATTGTATAAACCCTTTCTCACGATTTTTGTACCAGTAAAATGATGTCCCTGATGGACTCAGCCCGAAGTCTGGATCCCAAAATGTCTGAAGAATCCTTTAGAAGGCCCAAACCTCTCATTAAATTCACCTTGTGTGAAAAGTTGTGGTTCATCAGATGTTTCAGGTTGAAAACAATACATATCATCATTTCTACTGACATCAAATTCAGAATCAGATGAAACTGTACCAAGAGTTTCCGGTGGAGTAAGTACAGGCACATCACGTCCATGAGCAACAGGTCTTATAGCAGATTGAAGGTTCTTATAAAAAATTTTCCTTATATTTCGAGTGTTGTAGCCTTGCACCTTACCTAAGCAAAAATAGCAGTCATCTCCGTGGTTTCCAGGCTCACGTCAGACCATTTGATTTCCAAAAGGCAAATATATATATTTTTTTACCTTTAGTCCATTATCTCAACTCTTCAACACAAATGGTGCAAACTTTGTGCGAAGTCCATGATTTGTCTTGGTTCCCATGTTTTATTTCAAAATACACGCAATACGTATTTATGACGAATTCTGTAGTGTTTTGCCTTTGTTTCTCAACAACAGATTTACCACAAATATATCAGAATATGTTGAGGTCATTTACACGACCTTTTGTTGCCATACCGACGAATAAATAATATGGAAAATAAAACAATAATGTCAAAGTGCACGTACAAACAAATACTATCCAGAAATAACACGTCATGTGGCCTGTTAACCGTTTATATGCTAGCGGTGTGTTTCTGGTGAGGTCTAGAACGATCGATAAGACTCTCATGTCGCGATTGGTCTATAGAAATTTATAGCCAGTGGTCGTTAACATTTTAGGCATAACAAAATGTGATCCGGTTTCAATAAAAATGATTCACTTATGTAAACGTACATATGATGCTTTGTAAAAAATCTGTACATGATGGAGAAAAATGGATACCATTTTCGGATTCAGCATACTGTAGAACAATAAAACCATTGCAAGCCTGTGTTATCAGACTAAACGTTTATGTAAAATGTCTAATATAATGAGGGATTAAGATTTTACAAACTTGAAACAAATTAGCGTGTATTTGAAACTATCACTGTAGTTATTCTTATCCTATATTAATTCACGTCGTGTGTGATTTTTTTTTGTCCTCGAGCTCCTCCAGCAGTTTTTGAGGTAGCAGAAACAAACTTGGCATGTGGACCTGTGGTGGTCCAGAGGTGTCTTAAATTTATATGGCGTAGCCCCTACGAAGGGGTACCAAAGGAGATAAAACTCCCCTGGAAGGTCACGTAGGCATGATGAAATGTCTAGGAGTAGGCCTGCAGGGGAACTGAACTCTAATTTGACATCGGAGTTCGTGTTCCTGATCCCATCGGGATTTTGGGGGCACCATTTTTGGAACTGTTACACAACTTGGAGGGGGCAAACTTGGCACACGTGTCAAGAACCTAATGTTTTTTTGTTTCTTGTAGAGACCCCTCTTGGGGTAGCGATATAAGTAAGAGTTGATAATGGAAGAACTTGATCGGTAATTTGGGGACTCTGTGAATCAGGAGAGAGCGGGCATTTATGTAAGTAAATGTGATATCACTGAATTGGTATCACTGTAAAATTCATAGGAATATGTACACCATAATGCCTTATAAAAATGTTTTAATTTGATTAAATATTTCCATATTGCGCTTTCAGAATAATGTTGGCTTTATCTCCGATGAAGCTTTTTTATTGCGTATACATTAATTAAAGTTTCATAGGAAGTAAAGAAATAAAATGGAAAATTATGAAGAATTTTCAGCAATAATTATGGATCAAAACCTATCAAAGCGCCTGCTGATATTTGTCAACAACAAAATGGTAAATTTATGAAATATTAAGCTTATAAAGAAAGGAAACCACACGAAAGAAGAACAACAACAATAACTCCACAAAAATGGGAACAACTAGCATTCTGAACGATTTTTCAAAGCATGTTTCTGAGTAGTTATCTCGAATCATTTCGTACGATATTCTAGTATAATGTTGTAAACTTCGTTTAAATATCCGTTTGCTAATTATGAAAAATGTAAGAGAAAGTGTTTTACGTCAACAATATGGTAGACTGTTTGTTTGTAATTAAGCACAAAGTAAACACAATGGGCTATCTGTGCTCTGCCCACCACGGGTATCGAAACCCGGATTCTAGCGTTGTAAGTCCGCAAACATACCGCTGGGGCACTGGAAGCAGTATGGCAGATATTCTTAAGTAAGACATTTATATAAATTAGTGAGCGTGAAAATTTAAAATTTGAATCAGAATGTTTAACAAGCAATAAAGAAAATGGTTTACATAAATGTTAAGGCATTTAGTTTTCATAATTTTGGCTTAGTAACCAGAAACATCGATAAACGTAAAAGCGTTGTTAAATTTAGTAATGGTATATGCTTACCTGGAAACTGGAAGAATCCAAACTATACGATTGTTAAAACATTTTACTGTTAATAAGCTTAGTAAATATCGGGAAGTTTCAAAACTAGTTACTTGTCTGGCGTATGGCAGAATATTTCACTACATAAATGTTTTGGTATGGAACTGATGCGTTATATCGACTATTATCCGTGTTTTCGATTTTGTTTGTTTAATATTCTTCCTAACCTTTATACTTGTATTTATTATACTCGTTGCATCATATGCATAACAGAACACTACCGATTCTAGCTGTTCAATGTGAAATGGTGCTGAAACATGCATAAAGCGAATACACATTAACAAACACATTAATGTAAGTGCAATACTCGGTTGTATGTTATTACGAAAACAATCTACTTAATATGCTGCGCCTTTTGTCTTCCGTCGTTAAAACTGCTTAAAGGTCGATAAATACCAACAGTTAGAATGAAACGTCATTTGCTTTTAAACTCCAGACGGATACAGTTCACGCTAAAAATTATGTATAACGTATAGGAAGATGCAAATGTGAATGATTATGAAGCTAAATTAGTGTTAATTTTATTTATTGATATTGCAGTTCAATTTCAATATTTTCATATATACTAGTATCAAATGTCTTTTTTAGTAGGTTAGTGAATACGTGCATATTGTTGTCTAAGTTCCTTATTTTACCCTAATACGTGCATCAGTAATAGCTTTATTCCACCAGAAGTATCCTAGCCTTTATAATTAGCTAAAGAAAGAGCAAACATTCTCCTATTTTACTTGTCTATTGGTTTAATTATTATTACACAATTTACATATTTTTATTTAAAAGCTTCATTTCGAATAAGTTAGATTTTTCCTATTCCAGGTTGCGTTTGGCTTTATCAAACCTATGAACCACAATATGAAGACAAGTCCAGCGCCGATTACTGCCATAAATCTCTCTACCTCTTCGCTTTCTTTTTTCAATCGATTTTGTTCATGTTCATTTGCCTTCTAATTCTTCTGGAGATTTTGTATCGTTTTATTGAATTCTATAGATTATTTAAAAAACGGTAATTACCTCCATATAAATGTAACAAATGTGACCACTATTTGGATGCAGTGGAGAGAACGGAAAAGGTTACAATAATGCTTCCAAGCAGAAAATGTGAATCATGTTGATTGAGGATAAGCTGATTATCACGATTAAGGTTTCATGCTAGCTGGTTGTGAAAAGGAGAATTAGTATTGTAGCTTTAACCGTACATTCACGTGACTTTACTTTCCTCCAGCTAAAACAGCGTTAAGTATTGGCGGTATTCGAATCACCAGTGTAAATAAAATGTGCTGAATTATAAAAGCGTTCACATTAGAACACGATCATAATAATGTATTAAAAACTGCTTTTATTCTTCATTGAAGCCATTATGAAGTTTGCTTTAATGGGAAAATCTGAAGTGCCCGAAATCAACTTATTTGGATAAGTTTTGCTCTAACTTGGAGAAAATGATTTTTAACATGAAACTGGTATACATTACCATCATCCTTTGTTGAAATAATGAAACCTTAAATTTGTCTATACTTTAGAATTGTTTTTATTTCTTTGTATGGAACGATATTGTATGTTTCAGTGTATTAATTATAGTTTTATTAAATTTGTCTCGTACAATTAATTATTTCGCGACATAAAGATATCTTAATGTATTTTTTTACGAAAGCTTTTGTGATAAAATAAGTTTCTTAATATTTGTTTCAATGATAACCTTTATTCATTTTTCTGGCTTGCGTTATTCAAACAAGATTAAAAATAACCTTGAAATGTCTTTTTACTGACATTTACAGGTGCTTCTAGAACTTCAGTTCAAGAGAAATTAAACACATATTTATTTGTATACCATGTAGTTTCCAAATACCTTTGGCATCTTAGTCTGAAAATAATACAATGCCTTCTCATTACAATAAGCTCTTCTTAGAACATGCCATTAATTATTGAGTTTGTAAATTAATGCAAAGACTAAATTAAAAGCTTTTTCAGGAGTGTGAGATGTAAGAAGTATTATCAGAAACAAATTACATTTTCAAAATCTTTAAGATTTACAAATAATTTTCAGGACGTTGTTCTCTCAGATACTTTAATATATAAGCATATCGATTGCCATGGTCCGCGTTATTTAATAGTAGACTTTATACATGTTAATGAACTAAAACGAATAAATATAAACTTACTTCCAGTCAACAATAGCAATATTGCTTACCACGTGAAGTAGTTAGTGTATGCCGGTTGTATTTTTCGACACATACAGTGACACTCCCTTTTCATTATTTTACATACAGTTAATTATAAATATATTTTCAATTTTATAAGTTGCACCTAAATGGTTTGAAAAGCAACTGATATGTAAGTATTTTAATATCCCCAAAGAAACCTCGGGTTTAAAATTCTTTTATAAATCATATCGTAATTTAATTTAACACCAACCGCCTTTTACACCTTAAAGTTTGTTTGGCTTTTGCAAAGCACAAAGCTACACAATAAGCTAACTGTGCTGTGCTTGCAGCAGGGATCGAATTCAGAAATTTAGTGTTATACGCCTTCAATCTTACCACCAACCCACTGTCGAAACAGTTATCCAGAGATTCTTCAGAAAATAAAAACAAAGTTTACGGGTTTTGGGTTATCCTTCACAAACATATGTGGATAATATGGCTTATTATCCTGTTTATTATCACAAGTTCTCTAGTAAGGACAATTAAACCTCATAACTATTTGATGACGGAAAGGGGTTGTCCTTCGATTTGGATGTATGGAAGGTTCGTCTTGTTGGACTAATTGAAATGTATTAGTAACTAATACATAAGGGAATCTAACAGTTTTGAATAATGAAAATGACTTGCTTTTATCTGATGAAGCATGAGTTGTTACTTTCGGGCATAGTTAAGATCAAAATAGTTGTTATAGTCATGTGAATTCAGTAAGCTCAATATGAATCCTGTAAGTCACGGTAGTCTCTCTAGTTAGTTTAGCTTGTGTTTGAGACACAAGTCAGTTGTGGTTCAATTTGTATATAATTTTGTTATAATTTGAGACAGATTACTCTTCATTGAAAGGTTGTTATAACTTCCTGCTCAATACAGACGTTGTTTCTATTAGTTATAATAGATTCGAAACACATATACAAAGAGTAATTAGACTTGCAAAAGGAGCTCACAAATTAACAAAGCTTTCTCTTCAAGTAAACAGCCTCAGGACAATTACAGGAGTTCCTAATACCTTAGCGAGCATGCGCACAGTTCGTATGTTTAGCTGGAGTTGTGGGTTAGAAAGTATCCAAAGAGCGCTTCTGATAATCATTAAGGGTCATATTTAATCAGCGTATTTTGACGGAAGCCAGATACGCCATAATAAACACAAGTAATGCATTGCTCTTTGCTACAACAGAGTCCGAAGCTTGCACATCTATAAGACTTCCACTAGTCACCTTGTATTAATAGAATACACACTAATAATTCAAAAGACTCAAAATAATTACGCAGAAGATCTATAGTAGAAGTAATTCTTAAAGAGCTAAATCAGGAACACAACTCATTCTGATGTTTTCTCATGTTCGGTTACAAACACCAAAATATATTTTAGCGTAATTGCCTGTTATACGACTTAATATGTATCGCATTGTTTTACGGATGCTTTATAACAGCTTTATGTACAAGCACTGGCAAGCACAGCAGCACACTGAACAAGTACAACGCAGATCTATTTTGTGATTTGAGATACTTGTTATTTATCAAACATTTTGAATCATCCCTAACACTACGCATTGGAATGCAGATAATAACCGATAGATATTATGATATATTCGAATATCTTCCCCCTCCTATTCCGGCTGAAATATGAAGTAATCACTTTTCTTGTATGAATTATATTGGATACCTTACCTTTGAAAACACAACGGATATATTAACATAAAAAACCTGGATTGGATTTAGTCTATATCTAAAAAAAAAAAATAGTAATTGCACTACTGGTTGTTTACATATTCTGTAGAAACCCTTTCATACAATAGTACTTTTGAAAATCAATAATTTTATTTTCAAATACAAGTATGTGTCTTTATTTATGCTGCACCTTATGTCATACTAGAATATTTCTAGATAAACATCATTACTTATAAATGATCTAGGCTTATCTCTTTTATCCATAATGGTCTAGGTTTATCTATTTTATCTATAATGATCTAGGCTTATCTCTTTTATCCATAATGATCTAGGCTTATCTCTTTTATCCATAATGATCTAGGTTTATCTCTTTTATCTATAATGATCTAGGTTTATATCTTTTATCCATAATGATCTAGGTTTATATCTTTTATCCATAATGATCTAGGTTTATCTCTTTTATCCATAATGATCTAGGCTTATCTCTTTTATCCATAATGATCAAGGTTTATCTCTTTTATCCATAATGATCTAGGCTTATCTCTTTTATCCATAATGATCTAGGTTTATCTCTTTTTATCCATAATGATTTAGGTTTATCTCTTTTATCCATAATGATCTAGGTTTATCTCTTTTATCCATAATGATCTAGGATTATCTCTTTTATCTATAATGATCTAGGTTTGTCTCTTTTATCCACAATAGGAGTTTCGCTTCAGTAAACAAACTTTTTTTTACCGATAACAAGAAAATGATTTTAATTAATTGGAGGTAAATACAAAATTGTCAAACTTGATTTCTTTTTTTCTTTGATTGTTAGATTTTCCTGGTGATTAGGATTTATCTTATTACAATTTTCACATACTGATTAAATTCGAACATAGGTCAGGATAAATTACTTTCAAGTACACATATTTGTAAATTATTTAACTCTGACTTAAGAAATGTAGTTCAATTATTTTCTCTACGTTTTGTTTTCGTATGAAATTCCATGATATGTAGAAGTCAAAAACTGAAAAATACTTGCAAGTTTATACATTCAAAAACGTGAATTTAAAACATAAATAGGTTTTCACTTTTTTTTTTACATTTCACCTTTTCATTTTTTCCTGAAAAACTATTGTAGCGTTTATTTTTTCATGTAGCATTATATCATTCACACGTAGAAACCTAGCTTGCATTTAATGATAATTGTTTCATATTTACACAAATAGTAATACCACAGTTCACACGTTATCCATTGATAATTTTTTCATAATCTCTGTTTTGCTTATTATCTGTCCCACAGTAGCACAGCGTGATGTCTGCGGACTTACAACGCTAGAAATCGGGTTTAGATACCCACGGTGGGCAGAGCACAGATAGCCCATTGTGTAGCTTTGTGCTTAACTACGAACACACAAACAAGTATTATCTTTAGTTCGACGGGGTTTGCATCTCTGATGAGTGGCGCGCTCTAGTAATGGGACATAAGCTTAAGTTTGTTCCAGATTTAAACAAAAGGTGAGATGATTATAAATTAATTTATCAATGTTACTGTTATTATTATCACTACTATTATTAATATTATCACTATTAATATTATTATTATTATCACTATTATTATTAATATTATCACTATTATTATTGTTAATATTATCACTATTATTATTATTAATATTATCACTAGTATTATTATTGATATTATCACTAGTATTATTATTAATATTATCACTAGTATTATTATTGATATTATCACTAGTATTATTATTAATATTATCATCTTTATAATTATTATGATAATTTTTAATTCCGTGCATGTGTAGCTCTTCAGTAATGTACGTTGCGAAACCTGCTGTGGGTTGGCCAACCCTGGGCTGGAGGGAAGGCAGCTTGTAAACACAACTCATCGCTAATTGCTGGACTACTCTTGACTGACCGAATAGTGGACTTTGACTGTCGCTCTTATAGCGCACCCACTACACCAAAGTGCGGATCACGTTTTTTTTGCGTCAAGGGAATGAGAACCATGATCTTTCGGATTCACAATCCGAGCACGCTAATACCAAGATCACGGCCGGCCCAGTACAAGAACAAATCAAAGTCAAGAATAATTTGTAGATTAGTGCTGAAAACGTAAAAAATGAAGTATTTATTACTTTGAAAGTCATCGATATGTATAGACAGCAGCACACTCAGAAACAGCATGTGTCAATTTTCTGATCTAAAGCATTGCTATTTGTTCAGCACTGAATAATCCTTAGAAGTGTGCTTTCTCGTTGTAATGCAAATAGTAAATGACAAAATTTTGTAATAATTTTAAAGAATTCTATCCTAATTGAATTAAGTATTTACAAAAGGAAAACCACAGAATATATATATATATTTCATATTATGACTTCTGTTAGTTATACAGAATACTTACTCCCTCTTCTTTTTGTGTAAGATAAAGTCGAGCGCTTTGGATTAATCTATGGAAACAGGTATAATCGCTTTCCACATTCTTTACACATTTTCTGGCCACCCCCAGGTTCAAAATGTAGTCCCTCGTTCTCTTTTCTTCCTTGAAACCTGCCTGCTCTTATCCGATCATACTGCACTTTTCGGTATTATTCATGCAGAAATAGCCTACAGTTGCTTCTTCTGAATTATTATGTAATTAACTTTCTAGGTTTAACGACTTGTTAATTCCACTGATCTTTCATTAGACGACCTAGGTATAA